GTACAAATAGGTACAACCACAGTTTAGGTCGATGTGTATCTCGTATGGTGGGGTAAAGTGTACCCAAGGTTGCGCTCCAGAGCTCTCTATTGTTGAGGCCCTTCCAGCAGTTAGTGACCAGGGCAAGCATCACATATTACAGTATTTAACATACAAGATTTCGCGACCGATTTTATGATTCATAACTGATTTTTGGGTCAGATCGTGAAATGTAAATGTTGAGTTGTGTTTACCCTTCTCAAGCCGACACAGCCAATGAATAAAGTTATCACGTAAGCACACGCGCCAATATACGACTGCTTCAGCACACAGGTGTGTTGGAACAATTCACAACATTTTGATATGACGTTTCGCTGGTAGTTACAGCCAAAATCATCAGGCAGTTGACAAATATCAGAAAATGTCCTTCAGTTTTGATGACTTCGATACCATATGGTCTTTTGCGTGGCCGTTTTTGTATGCTTTACCAGTCGACAAACTGGTTAAAATTATTGCAGCATCACCTTACTAATATACATTAAACAATAAAGTATCAGGAATGTACAACATGATGCTATAACGCGCGTGCATTTTCTAATTCTTTGGGTCTTTCGGTAAAGCCACGTAGATAGAAAAAATAATAAAAATAATAACAATGTCACGACGTTTCGATCGCAACACAAGCAATCGTCATCAGGTGAAAAAGAGGGGGAAAGCTGCTGAGGCAGGCTGTTTATAAAGGTTTAGAGATGGGCGGGGCAGCTAATGTTAATGTGGGAGAGGTCTCCATACCCGGCAGTAGGTCTACCCCAATCAAAGAGCTGTTGACAAAGGTTTGAGATGCTTGTAAATGTAAGCTTGGAATATAGTTAGGAAAGAGCCATCACCACATAGAGGTGGAAAAGGATGGCAAGCCGCCATTTACTAACACAGCTAATGGTGGCTGTTAGTGAATGTAACTCAGAGAGTGGAAAATAACTGCTAACATGGGTAGGGAGGGAGGGAACATCACAGCCAGTTATGACCTAAACTGGTTAATAACGTCCTTCCAATGATTACTCAGTTGAAATTGTGTCTGTGTTTATACATCTGGATGGCTTCATGAACGAATCTTTGCTGATTGCCAGTGTTTTTGCAGAGTATCTTCGTCTTGGCAAAATACATTTTGTGTGTTCCCACCGCATTAAAATAATGATCAGCGACAGCTGAGTTATTGGTCCTACCGTGTTTCAGATCTGCCTAATGTTCACGAACCCGGTCCGAGACATAGGCACAGCGTAGTTTGTAGACGCCGGGGTATTGCATGTCAGGGATCACATCCTTCACAGATGGGATCAAATCACGAATTTTACGTACTGTGTGAATCGGACCTGGATCTTGTGTTTGCTCATGATTTTGGAAATAATTTTGGTGACCCCTGCTATGTATGGCAAGGTGATGGTTTTGATTGGGTCCTCAGATGGTTCTTTCCCAACGGTTGGGGTGATATCTTTATGGATTGTGTAGTCTGAATATCCATTCTTCTTGAGGGCTTGGTGTACGTGCTCCAGTTCACTGGCTCGGTGGTGATGGTCGGAAATACGAGCTCTATGGTATAGCGTTTTGATGAGGGAATTCTTCTGGGATGGATGGTGGTGAGAGTCAGGTTTTAGGTAGGCATCCGTATGGGTGACTTTCCAGTAGACAGTGTCCCATGGAGCCATCAGGTCTCTTTTCGATGACAACATCCAAGAATGGTAACTTGCCATCCTTTTCCACCTCCATGGTGAATTTGATGGCTGGGTGTATGGAATTGATGTGGTTGAAGAATTGGTCCAGAGCTGGTAGGCCATGTGGCCAGATGACGAACATATCATCTACGTATCTCTTCCACAAGGAAGGACATAGGGTGGATGCCTGGATGGCATATGTCTCGAATTTCTCCATGTAAAAAACATTGGCTACAACTGGAGATAACGGAGAACCCATTGGGGTACCTTCAACTTGTTTGTAGAATGTTCCATTCCAAGTGAAGTGTTGGTGAGGCAGTGTCTAACCAGGGCCAGTACACCAGCATTCAGTCCTTGTTGGACCAAATCTTCAATTATTGCAATGGTGTCAGGCGCAGGAACTTTGGTAAACAATGATAAAAGTGAATGGTTGCAAGGTCTCAGACAGAAATCGGGCCAGTTTGTCGGTGGATGAGCTAATGGTGGAGACGATAGGACGGAGTGGTGTACCTTTTTTACGGATTTTTGGTAAGCCATAAAATCAGGGTGGTCTAGTAGCAGAGGGTTTTAAGGAAAGCCGCTTGGTTGGTTCGATTAAAGATGTCGAATCAGTGATGTTGGTTTTCGTAACCAGGCGGTTGATAGGATCTCTATTAAATTTGGTATAGCTGCCATCATTAAGTAGGTCCTGAATTGTATTGTAAGTGGTTTTGTCCATGATGACAGTGGCATTGCCCTTGTCGGATGAAAGGATGACTTTGTCATTTCTATTTTTTTAGTTGAAAAAGCTCAAGGTGCTCATCCTTGCTGTTGCTAATAGGTGTCTTAGCGCTTTTGAGGATTGCAGCAATTTCCGATCTTGCGTGTACATTGTTTATTTGGCTGACGTGCTAGCATATAATTAATCAGAAATTACTGTATGCGTATATATATACTAAAAGTAATGTATCCATTCGAGAGTGTGAATTCTGGCCTCTTGTCAATACGTGTTTCATTCATAAAAGCGTTTTGAAATAAAATAAAATAAACTTTCTCAAGGTTTAACTGAAAGCAGCGATCAGTAACAGCTATGAAATGTTCTTCGCTGGAGTCATGCTGTAGCCTTCACTGACCTAATGCAATGTTAGGCCAGTTGGATATTTGTTGATTTTCATTCATACCCTTGAGCTTGTTTGAGACGCAGTGCTTTTGTTTGGTTTTCCAGCCATGCGCTATCACACACACACAAGCGCTGTAAAGCTTGTATGCCTTCCTTTCCTACGTGAGTTTTCCTTGGTGTTGCATTCACGAATGTACTCATTATGTTATGTTTATTTAAAATAAAAAAACACCAGTGCCGTTGTATACGTTTACGTGGGTTTTCTGAACGCCGGTTAAACTGCGTTTGCTTTTAAAGAGGAAATAAAGCCACACAGTCTGTACAAACATGACGAACAATAAATGAGGAAGAAGGGCAATATTGTGGTACCAAAGCTGGCTTTGTTGGTTTTATTTGTGTTTGGTACATATGAACCAGTGGGCAATTACAGTACCGCCCGCGGTTTGACTGACATTTCATGAATGGGCTATCGCCTCGTTTAAAGAATGGGATTAATGAATGGATTTATATAATGATCGGGCAGTAACATTTGAACAGGGATATGTATAACAAAGGTAAGCTTGGAACGGTGATCAAATACGTGTACAGTACTGTAATGGAAACGTACACATTTTATACGTTCACCTACACCACGCATTTGACACGGAATGTTGAGTGTAATGTATTCACGTCATTACCCTATTTAACCACTTCATGACCAAATTAGACATTTTCTTGGTTGTTTCGGTAAAGTCACGTAGAAGGGAAATAATAAAATCATAAAAATAAAACATAATTTTATTAATAATTAAAAATATAACATAATAATTATATTTTATTGTTTGAAATCGAAAATTAGACCGTTTGCACTAAGAGGGCATCGATTTGTTTAACAGTATCAAGACCACCTGAGATTTTAATATATAGGACATTTTATTTGCTAGTGCTGCCGTTGTACCTGAAACGTCGAATCTGTTATTTCAAGGCAGTGTTGTTGTCGAGTGTGTTGTTTTATATACATAAGAGATGCATATTCTTTGGTTCTTTCGGTAAAGTCACGAAGAACCAGAGTTCCTGCAGTCACGAAAGCTTCAAATCAAGATTATAAGAGATGCAATTTATGCTAATTTATTTATTCTATTACAAACCACAGATACATTTTAATAAGACCTGGGGATAACAATGCACATACACGCTCCATCCTCGTCTCTAACCATTAAGTGGCAACCTTAAATGTACATTTTGTGTGCAGTACTTTCTATGCGTTCTACTATAACCGTGCCATTGAGCGCCCATTGAAGGCCACTTTGTTGACAATGGCGCGCTCCATTCATGCACTGTCCTCTCTCCCGTGTCGTGTCTACCGTACGGGAGGAGGTGACAGGACACACACGAGGCATAGGAGGATGGGAGGGGGGTAAATACATTTATACAATACATAAAGTGCGGTGCAAGAGTTAAAACTAAGCACTCAAATGCCTGCTGCTGCTGAGGATGAAAGTCCCATTCACAAGAATCTAACGCCCACGCGCCCCCATTCCTTAGAACCGCAAGAAACCCACGCGCGCCACACAACTTTCACTAAACGTCCGCAGGGCGGCTACCCTGGCACCGTCGAGTTACATAACAAGCCGCGTTCGGTGCCTCGGAGGCGTTTTGCGATTTGAGAACGAAACAGTTTCCGGATTTAGTGGAGGGGGAGGAATTTTTTTTAAAAAATGTCGAAAAAAAACAAGTCCCCAATTCCTCACCCCCTTACCACCCCAACACCCCCCCACGTTACCGTGGCAACGGGCTTGACGTCACCCCCGAACCCGCGCGCCTATTGGCCGAGCGCGAGAAAAGTGGGCGGGGTCGCGCGGGGTGGCTGACGGGCAGGGGGGGCCGAGGGGGGTGACGGAGCAACGCGTTCAAAGGGGAGAAGGGGGGGGGGTGCGTGGGAGGGGCGAGGGGGGGGCGAGGGGGGGGACGAGGGGAGGGGCGAGGGGGGGAAACGAGGGGAGGGGCGAGGGGGGGGCGCGAGGGGGGAGGGATAACCCACTACATTACATTTCTTACAACGCATAAGCATAGCACGGTTTCCAACAGCCAATGGGCGCCGTGCGGGGCGGTGACCTGCCGCTTGCTTGTTGACGCCCACCGCCGTGCCTATCCGCTGTAGGTATTTAAATAGCCCCTCCCCCCACCCCCTTCCCTCCACCGCGAGAGGGTTATTAATGAAAGAGGCTGCGTGGCCGCGGCTTCTATTCATGAGCTCAGTCGCGACGCAGCAGTCGCCTGTGCCACCAGCATTCTGTCTACGTCCCCACACCACCATCACCACCACCACCATAGCAGGAGGCTTCCTTCCAGCTTACACCGAATCTTCATCTCGTCTCGCTACTTGGCCTATCTTGTTGTTGTTGTTGTTATTATTGACCGGTGATAGCGGCCGAGCGCGGTCGATTTGTAGTATTAGGCCATCGATAAGCGAGTGGTGGGTTTTTTGTTTTGTTTTTGAGCGGTTCATTTTGTTTGGGGTTTTAGGGGGGGAAACAACGTTGTTACTTGGGGTAGGTGATGTGCGTTTGGCAATACGGCTGTTAAGTTGGTGGGTTGGGTGTAAAGCAATGGTTTTGTTTACGTTAAGACCGTGTCGCTCTATGTGCTCTCGCGTGTAATGTCAGCATGTGAATGAAATGTACGATTGGTGAACGTTAATGTGCGGCGAATACAACTTATGTGCTCGTTGATTTAGGACGTTACGGTTTAAACTTTGGTCGCTCAACCCCGCGGGCAGTAGTTTAAGGCAGCCGGAGTTACGATGTCTGGTGAAGATTTTCACGCAACGTGTTAACAACGTTGACTTTTCTTTGCGAACGTTTTGAGTTTTTAAAAAGATGGTACAGCTGAGAGTGAACATTAACAACAAGACATTTCTGGGCAGAGAGGGGCAAGGACAAACATTGGCTTGTGCCTGCTAACGCCAGGAAGGAACAGGCTTCGACACGAAATCTGCGTTGTTTTTCTTTCACTGCAAGACAATTATTTTTTTAATTTTCAAACCGATAAGAATTAAAAACATCCTTTTTTTCGGAAGAACGCCGTGGCAGCTTTGGGACCAGACGTTTGTCTCTTAATGAACTTGTGAGAGAAGTAACTTTGATCAAGGACCGTGAATATTGCGACTTTGAAGAAACAGACAAAACTCCAAGCTTCAAGAAATACTTTGGAAGATTGTTTACAGATCATCATCGCCGTCGTCTTCACTTGTAACCAAACATTTTAAATCACCCCCACCCATCCATCGCAGATTGTTTTATTTTTTTAATAACTGACATATCTAATACACCACATCAAGATACATATAAACAAATTATGTTCGTATCAGGGTGATTGCGTAATTAAGTTGATTTGACTTTTTAAAAAAATTCTAACGCATCCTGTTAAACCTCGCCAAAACATTTTTTTATATTTATCAATCGTCACCGCACGCCACCCACTACAACTCGTTTAAGTCCTTAACATCGAACCACATTCACAAATTAAACAACCAATCGACAATCGTCCAACTCATCGCTGTGTGTCAAGCCCACGGCATTGTAGAATCACAACAACAACAAAACATCCCATCATAATTCAACCAATTTTGCCAACACCACACCAGAATCCTCATCATCATCACCACCAAACGCAGCATTTACCACCAACAAAGAAGAACCTCCTTGTAGCCGGTGGCATTTGGGTGGCTTCACCCCAAGATCTGCTGCTAGAACATCTGCAAATTGCCTCCTTGGCCATGTCCAACCGCGCCAGGAGTGTGGACTGGCTCCAGGCTCAGCTGGACAGCGGTGGGGCCCTCTTGCTACTCGACTGCCGCGCCCGGGAACTTTTCGAAGCGGCTCGCATCGAGGGCGCCGTGAACGTCTCGCTGCCCACGCTCATGCTGCGGCGTCTACGGCGGGGAAATCTCCCAGTGCGATCCCTCTTCGGTAACGGCGAGCTGGAGAAGGAGCGAGTGGCGTGCCGTTGTCGGAGCGAGGTGGTGGTGCTTTACGATGACCGGGAGTGCGATGTCGATGGGAAGGATAAGGAGGCTGCGGGTGGTGGTGGTGGCAGCCACGGAGAGTCGGAAGGGTGCGTCGGAGACGCGGACGGCGATGGGGAGAAGTGTGGCTCGTTGCTGAGGCTGCTGCTGCAGAGGCTGTCCGAAGACGGATGCAAGGCGTTCTACCTTCAAGGTAAAATGCACGACTGTGGTGAATTTGTTTTCTTCGACCTTATTCAAAAAGGGGGGTCTAAATAAGTGCAACGGCATCGCAAGATGTATGCTGTAAACTAAACTAAAACTAATTTTATTTTGCCAGGTTAGGAGGATCACTGAGTGATGTGTAGCGCTTTCTTTTGCGGTAGCTACCTGGCCACAAATGATAGTTGAACTAAGTGGCTCGTCAATTGGCAATGTATAGCAGCCAGATAATATAGTGCGTGTTTGGTGCAGGTACAGATCCAGTTCGTGCCATACAGCAGTCGAGAAATACTGACCACTGAAGTTGACTTGAGATTTCAAAACGGAGGCCTTAGTGGAGTAGAGCGAGACGCGAGGAGACGGGCATCGTGTGAGTCAATCAATTAAGGATGTTAAGATCAGAATATTTATTCATACTGAAGAAATCCGATGATCGTGTAGTTGATGTTGGGATTTCATTCGGAGGGCAGCGTGGGAGAGATTTTAGGATTTGGGGTGATTTGGTGTTTATTTTCTGAATGTCAGAGAAAAGTCTTGCAGTAGTGGCACGATTGCTTTTGTCAAACTACACGGTAACATTTCTTCACACAAAAGCATTGCCCGTCCAGAGCAAAGAGCCGATGCGCTTTGGTTTGTTTTTGTTGCTTGCAATATAGTGTACATTGTTCTGTGCTTTGCAGCTGTGCTCCCCTTGCAAATATAGACTTGTTGACTCATCCTGTTACCAAGAAAATAATAAAATATACCAGTCAAATACTGTAATGGTGCATTATTCAGCGGAGACATCGCTCGAAAGGTTGACTTTTTTCAGTTACAAGGCAGCGTTTGTTGTCAATGGGCTATGCGTTGTGAGCTCACACAGTCTTGGCGAGCCGGACGGGCCCTGAAGCATTTTTGGTTTCATTAGGGAAGTGTTTGCTTGCTTTTGCTGCTGGTGGGGTGATGTCTTTGGTTGGTTGGTGATGGGGGTTTTGGTCTCGTTTGATGTGAGGAGGCATCTGACTGCCTACAACATTTGGCAGCCCAGCAGAGTACATGTTTACCATGTCTCACGCGGGTGACGAAACACAGAAAGGTGGACACCACTGTCGATTCGCTTTACACAAACGCTGCTGGACGCAACAACATTCCGTCTGGAAGGCAGCCGATAGGCTGATTGATATATTTTTTTATTTGGGGATATGGATAGGTGTTAATTGATTAAATAATCCCATGTGTGTTTCATTAGTATCGCTTGTTATTGGTAAATCTTACACGTACAAAATAAAGTGGCACCTTAGCGCTCGACCATTGCTTTAAGGTCTGAAAGCGCTTGTGTTATATATAAAATGTATATAAAAAGATTGCTTGAATGGCATCTCCCTTGGTGACTCCATACGGTTTATAAACTGGTCGAGATGTCACTTGAAGTGTTTTACGTGAGACGCCATGACTGCAAAAAGGCACGATAAAAAAATATATAGGTGGTGATGAAGTCACAGAGTAGACCGAGCGATTACACTGTAATAAAAGCAATATAAAACCTTTTGATTTATGACGACCGAGACAAAAAAAGTCTGGCAAGGAAAGAGACTGTGGAAATGGAAATAACACAGCAGAGTACGATCATACTGGCTGAAAACGTGCAAAATAAATTTACTGAATATCGCCTTGCCCTAAATCCGGTTATTCATAATGCAAAGTACCATCCTGGGAAAAACAAATATTAGATTGTCAATGAATTGACAGGAAAAAAAATGCAACTCAGTGTAAAACAAGTCTAAAAAGATGTCTTATTATAAATCATGCACTATCTCGTGTGTGTTTAAGACCCCACGACATCAGTCAGTCACAAAAAGGCATTTTCATCTTTTTCTTTTCCTAAATTTTAGACTCCAAAATATGAAAAATAAATGACATTCCTTGAGTCTCTGTCTGCAAGTCTCCCTTTCAGAAGACTCTTTCGATGGAATACCTCCCTGATGTGTTAAGGGTAACTGCTGGCTTGATTTGCAATTGAACAGCATTGTCAAAAGCTTTTGTAAAAATATTAAGTTGAAAGCAAATATAGTTTTGTGTATGTGGCCAGACTTAATGGAAGGTATTTATTGGAATATTGAACTGCATGCCAGGTAATAGGACACCTTCCACGTTCTGTCAATATTACCTTGGTTGTCAGCAATATCCGAATGCGATTTGGTAATATTTGGCCATAACCTAAATAGTATCCACACCGCAATTTCTATCGTAAAACCAAAAAAAGCGCCCTTCCATCATCGTGATCATCTGTCAGTATTAGCAGAGGTCATAGTTCATTGCTCTTAGTGCTAGCAGCTTGCCTTGGTAAACAGTTTCGGCCTCCCTGTTTTTTCGCAGCAAGTTTAGCAATGAGAATTACTATCCTGTGCGCTGCGCTGTGGGTTAGTTGGCAAACTTGCTCATAGTGGGGTCAATTGTGGCTACTCGCACGGCAGACGATCCATTTGGCCAGCGTGCAAGACGTTGGTAAAATGTCAAGATAAGATATCCTCTTTTTCCTACAGTGGAATAAGTACGGTGTCATTTAAGAGGTCTTTAGATTTCGATTTAAGGCTTTCGTGACTGCAGGGATTCATCTTCTTGGTTCTTTCGGTAAAGTCACGTAGAAGGGAGGTAATAAAATAATTAAAATAAAACATAATAAAATAAAATATTTTATTAGGTATCTAGATCTTTGGGTGAGAACCTCTGCAGCTTTCTCGACTGGCCCAAGACAGTCATGGGCAAATACAAATGTTGTAACACGTGGCAGTGAAACGCCACAATGAGCCTACCTTGTGCACAAGTACATCTTCACCCGTTTAACGCGCAGGCTTTTGCGACCAATATCCATAATACAGGTTTTTTTTTATTAGATCGTGTAAATATATACATGTGTCGTTAAACCCGCCACCACTCGACACAGCCAATTCGTAAGGTTTGTCACGTAAACAGAACGTGCCAATTCCTTACTAGTACAGCACGCCAGTGTGTTGGAGAGCCAAGCCACAAGATTTACATTCAGATTGTAAATGTTATGTGCTGTAATCGTAACGAATTGGCATATTCTGTTTACGTGACAAACCTTACTAATTGACTTTGTCGGGTGGTGGCGGGTTTAACGACATATTTACGCGATCTGACCCAAAAAAACCTGTGTTTCGATCTTTACCCCTGTGTGCGCAAGTGTGAGCACACACACACACGTATATGTAAAGCAGAGACTTGGGCTTGGAACACAGTACCGCGATGATTTAACTGCGCATGCTGGACGTATTTCCGCAGAGATATGTCACCTATTTATATTAAATGTCAAGCTTGCGATCCCATTCACGGAGTCACATTTATGAATGCTAACTTCATCTGATTTGAAAATTAAGCGTAATAACTTGGTTTAACACAAGCACACCTGGCAATAACCAGACAGACTTTCATGAATGTCGCCAGCTTGATGTGTTTTCGTCGTCAAATGTGGGTTTTTGTTGTTGTTGGCATTTTAGCCCTTGCCTCCCCAATAACAAACCCAACACCACCAGCCCCTATACACTTCCCTATTTTCCATTCGTGTAACTAAAGCCATGTTGTTGATGCCACAAGCAATGTTGCCTGCTTTCTAGGTCTTTCTTGCGTTTAGTCAAGGCTCGGGTCACTTCCGCTCCACCTTCCCCCTCCCTTCTCCTCTCCCCCGTTGGTCTCTGTATCGTTTCCATTGTAAAAGCAAGTTCTGTGATTTAACCGTGGTGCTGCATAGCGTTACAATGCTTTTAACTTGTACCTCTAAGCTGCATTGGGAATGTGGTCTGTGTTGTGATTGTTCCAACCCCCGCAATTACCTAACAAGGGTCGTGGTATTTTAAATATTTATTTTTCCTCTGAGCAGTAACCTAATAGACGTCACAGAGATTTAGTGATAACAAAAAAAAGATGGTTAAAGAAAAATATAGTGACCCACACGCAATGGTCCAGCATTGTTTTCAGAGAAAAATAAGGACAAACCTTCCCCCCCCCCCATGTTCTTTTATTTTTGCTCGCATAGAATAAAAACTACATATACTTTTTCATTGATCTGTTTGCGAAATACCTTATTTTGGTTACACATCGGCATGCTGTGGGATCTGTTATAAATCCATCATCTTGTGTTTCTCGCAAGGCCGTAATGAGAGTAGAATAATGTTTAAGTTTTGTAATCGCCTATAGATTAACTACAGTGACTTGTCCTTGAATTGATTCTTAATTACCCACGTGGCACACGGGATAATAATGCAAGTAGAGCTTGTTTCGTCTTGTATCTGCCATAGAAAAATAGCAAATCTGTTAGCCACACTCCACCAGTAAGTTTCTGCTGAAATGCAGTGCTAATTTTACGAATGAAATTAGGAAGGAAAATGAAGTGTTTTTTTTTACTTTAGTCAATGATGTCTAAGACTTGACTAATGATTCCGAAGACTCTCTTTGACAAGACTGAGACTAAAATAAAAAAAATGCTGACTAAATTTAGTTTTATGACATATCATGCTGTCTTTTTCCGGTGGTCGTATATCTGGTCTGAACCACATAGTACAGTCTATTTGTTTAGGAGCCGAGATCATATATTTAACTGTTGGTGCCACTTGGCATGGCATAATTTTAGCAGTTCCAATTTATTCGTGGCCAATACCAGGGAAAGATGTGATAACTATTTGACACGCGTTGGCTCTCAAATTATTCACTCTCAGCCATATAAATAAATTGGTACGACTAAAGTTTTGCTACCCTAGGCGCTTCTAATTTCTGCTCTGGCCCATGGACGATATCAAGGAACACAAAGTATAACAAACAAAATCTTGCCTAATTATAATTCTAAACTGTGTAGTACCACACATCTCAAAAGCACCACATTTGTGAGTTTTGTTGTTTGGGCATGTCCGTCATGGGGAGCTGTAATGTGACCGTTCTTTGCCATGCTGGTGGTCAGTGCGAATTTGTGAATGGATGACATTCTGTCGTGCCTCTTGATTATCTGACTGATGTGGGAGCGCTCCCCCCCCCCCTATCCAGTGTAGCGACCGAGGTCCTCAAACGATCTTAAGCTTCGTTTGCCACTTGAAGGCAGTGCCCCGTGGAAATAAACGATGCCACTTTACCGTCAACCCATGTGTATATTGAAAATAAAATCTGAAAATGCACATTACCCAACATTTTGGCCAATAAGTCCCTTTTATCACCACCAGGTTATTCTCTTTTAACGTTTTTACAAGCAATAACCAAGACTTACATTAAAAATGCACTGTATATTAAGGACTTATGATTTTTTTACTGCTTTTTAACTTCCGCTTATTTTACGTGGACTTTTGATGGGGGGAAACATCGTGTTCTTTTGCCAAAGCCTTTGCATTAGCACTACTGAAGGATTATCTGGCAATTGAATCATTTAATAATTTACCAATCCATTGGTGAGAACCTTTTACAGTCGTGCCAGAACGTGCACGTACCAGATTATATTATTTTGCCATGAACTGAGAGCCGTAATGTGATTTTAAAGGCGGATGCTATTAAGTGACAATTCCTGCGAGAACTTGAGACTGCTTTGGCAGGTCACTCTGCAGGCTATCTCTGGCATATCTCACTTGCCTCATAACCCTGTGCAACCCGACGCGCTTCTTACACCCACGTGTGGCTTCCATGCTGTCAATGCTCCTTCAGCGTGTTAGCCCCGTACGTACAGTGTTTCCGTCGCTTCGTTTATCGAATCGAGTTTTTTAGCCAATGGTTTTGTTCGCTTTTGAAATGCCTGCATTTTGCGCCCCGAGATTTGTCAATGTTTTTCCTTCTTTTGTAAAAAAAAAAAAAATCATCGCGTTCATTATACATTGTGATGCGAGTGCAGAAGCTTGAATCAAAGCAATTTGCCCTTTCTCAGCTGTCTTCTGTCAGCTCTGAAGAAGGATCATGGCTAACACATTAGCATGCTCTTTTTTCCTGTTATCGGCCAGTGTTTTTGGCAGTGCTGGTGAGCTTCTAGTTGTATAGCTGCCAATTGTTTTGATTCTGGGTAAATGCTCCACACCCAAATAAAAAATGTCCTTGCTGTACGTCAAGAGTAAAAGTGGCCATGAATCTGACGATTATACTGTCAAACTAATCCTCAACATTAGCTCATGAATCTCAGTGCCTAAGGCATGATTAGGATGATTAGTCATCACTGCTAATTTCCAACACACAAAGCCAGACTTTAGGCACACTCTATTATGTTTCAATATAAATGTATGGGCCTCTGAGAATTAGACTAAGGCACCCTTTCAATTATAGTTTTAGGATGTTGTGCTAGTGGCTTAACCTTTATTTGTTTCGTTTCCTATTTAACAATTGCACATTCCACTTTTGCTGCATCATGAATGATGGCATATCCAAGCATGCTCAACTTGTTTCGGGGTGGAGTCTTAAAAAGCATCACGGTTAAATTTTGACTTAAAACTTTCGTGACTGCAGGAATTCATATTCTTAGTTTTTTTTTTTTTCGGGTAGTCACATAGATAGGAAAAAATATATATATTACATTTTTAAAATAATTTTTATGTTCTATCTACATGACTTTACCAAAAGAACCAAAGCATCACGCTTATTTTTTTATATATATCTCGTTGTTGTACGCATCAAAGTGTCTCAGTGGTAGAGTAAGCAGCTCACAATTGGAAGGTTGCAAGTTGGAATTTTGTTTCGGATTGACTCACCCCATCATCCTTCCAGGGTCAATAAATTAGTTGTGCAGAGTGGGGAAGTAAACTCTTGTTGTATTATGGAAAGACTCGCTCCTGCAATGGGAATGTGGAGTAGTAACCACTGGTTCAGAGCTGTAAACAGGATATATGCACCACTGCAATGTTCATTTGAGCATGAAATCGCATTGACTTTCATGACATATCATGGTTAACAGCCACTTGTTTGTTTATTGCTCCTGTACGGATCACGTGCGCAGGGGGATTCAGTCGTTTCCGGGCGCGCTACCCCGAGCACTGCGAGACGTGCATGGACGCGGGAGCCGGGAGCCCCGGGGGACTCTGCACGTCACCGCCCACGGCTGGGGTCCCCATCTTGGGCCTGGGCGCCCTACGGATCGGTTCGAGCGACTGCTCTGACACGGAATCCGACCCGGACTCGAGCAAGCCATGCTCGCTCGGAGCAGGTAACTCGCTGAATATACCATACTCTTAGTTCTTTCGGTAAAGTCACGTAGGTAAAAAATGAAATTAAAATTAATAAAAATAAAACAATAAAATCACGACGTTTCGGAGGCAACACAAGTCTCCATCATCAGGTGGGACCGCCACAGCCAGATTTGCTGCTTGCTCCTGTACGGATCACTTGATGCAGCAATTCTGTGACTTTACCAAAAGAACTAAGAGTATGAATCCTTGCAGTCACAAAAGCTTCAAATCTAGAACTCGCTGAATGGTTTCCACTTCCCGCCCCCCCCCCACCTATAAACCAACCCTTACTGCACACCCTCCCCCCCCACGTCCTCCCATCATCATACTTTCGATTAGCACGGTTGGCTACGTTGGGTGCGACGTAAGTTAAACGTACATACACACCATTGCAGATTTATTAAAAGATAATGTACATGTAAAATACGTGTCTTCGTAAATAAAGAAAACACTTAACAGGAATCGCCGAGCATGCTTTGCATATCAGGACGATGTCGCCGTTCTTGTTTGTGTTTTGCACGCAGCATTGTGATAGCCACTGGCTCCAGAGAGCCGCTCGAGATTGTGGCATTTCTTATTTAGGTGGCAGGGGACAACATGGCAACTATATGCTAGTTTCATTCTTATTAGGACTCATCAGTACATTGTATCCATCGCATGAGATTCATGATTTTGCTTTTGGAACTTTCATTCTAGCAATTAGGACCTTCTCTACTACCCCTGCCGTCTGGTTCTCGCTGCCTCTAATGGTCTACGTTGCTGACTCCCTACCCTTGTACAGATAATTGCTTCAAGGCTTCTACTTCCAACTGTGATTGGCTCCCTCCCTATGCTGCTCTGTCTTCCGCGCGCTCTTCTTACGGCACTGTAGGCTGCCATGTTGGCGTCTCAAATCTCCTGACCTATCCTTTTAGCTTTTTCCGAAACCTGTGCTCCCCACAGATGGTGCAGCATTCAGCAGTTTTCATTACATTTAGACGATCTGCAAATGGTGTGTTGTGTTACGCATCGTACGTTGGAGTTGTGTATGAAAAACCCATTGGCAGTTGGCTAGTGTAACAGTGGGCAACAGTACAGCAAGTAGGTCGATTATGTATTGTGTGCTTGGTGAATTTCCTCCAAAAAGTTAAAGGAATCGGCCAAACAATGCAAGCGGGTCTTTGATTAAACATTTCTTGGGACGCAATTCTTTTCCCCAATTATATTCGAAGGTTGGATTTTAACGGGCAACCTTGCCGTCCAAGGGTGAGTGTGCCGACCACGAGGCCACTCACTGATGCACCCTGAGAGTGGAGGGAGAAATACAAACCTTTTAAAAGTATAAAATAACATTAAAAATAAAAAAGATACTGTTGAACCATATGTCTGTTTTCTTCTTTCTTTCGGTAAAGTCACGTAGAAGGGAAATAATAAAATAATAAAAAATATTATTTCCCTTCTACGGGACTTTACCGAAAGAACCAAGAAGACGAATCCCTGCAGTCACGAAAGCTTTAAATCGAAATTTCACATGTCTGTTTTTACATAGCACCAGTCAAAAAGTTGTGTTATTTATGTTGGCCAGCATGTTTTAAAGTAGCAGACAAGGGTGATAGTTTAAACACATTGAGAGTGAAATCCATGTCTTTGGCAACGTGAGACAATGGCCCACCGTGGCGTGGTCGTGTAAGCATCGATTTTTAAGTATTATTTTATTCTCAAACGATTCGCTCTCCGTTCGAACAAAGGCATTTGACGTCCTCTCAGTGGTCGCCCATTTACGAAAATAAACTTAGCAGCAGTTAAACTGACCTAGGAATGGTGTCCTTAAAAAAAAACACTCCATTTCGCAGATTCGTACAGCAGAGATTTGCTGCCTCAGTGAACCTACCTGCTAAAGCGGTAAAGGTGCAGCCCTGCGATTGCTTTCTGTTGGCGGAAGGGCCTCGACTAGAGGGAGTTCTGGAGGAACCTCTCTTTTTACATGCTTTTATTTAACTCACTTTGTCTGTTGTCGTTGTCGTATCCTCAAATCTTGTAACTCAATTTTAACCTACTTCCCAATGTGGTATCGACTGCAAACTTGGTATACTTATGTCATACTGATGACAATACCATATTTTATCATAAAAAATAAACATTTTGTTTTTAAACAATTTTTTACACGCTTTTTATGAACTCATTCTGTCTGTTGTCGTATCCTCAAATCTTGTAACTCAATTTTAACCCACTTCCCAAGTGGTATCGACTGCAAACTTGGCATACTTATGTCATACTGATGACAATACTATATTCTATCAAAAATAAAAAGTATTTTTAAACATTCATTTGTATTGTTATGTTTCGGCTTCAGTCTAATTGTCCACGCTCAACTGACGTTGGCTGTGTTGTATACACAGCACGTTATGGCAAGCTTTGCGGCCACTTCCTGGAGTCATGGAGTTTTGCCATTACGAGTAGGATACATTTAATTAAAGTGTGTTTTTAAAAACTTACTTTTAAATATTACTTATTATAGAGTACTTTTGGCCTACTCTTCCACACTGATCTTGACGAGGTGGACGTACCCATGTTTTACCCCACCACACGCAACATTTTAATCCACTAACTGTGGCGTCCCCATCTTTAATGTTCGATGGACGGAGGAGGGGCGATCTAATAAACTTGAAACATTGTTTAAACTGCTGTGCCACGCTAACAGATGCAACCAAATAGGCGACCTCTGGATTGCATGTCCAATGTGCTTATCCATAGCAACGTGGCAGCATCCCCTCATCTAAAATGAAGGTTTTATGACAAGTGATAGGGGGGGGGGAGTTTGCACTGAGAGGAAAGGGAGGTCTTGATGTTTCGACCGACTGATCTCGTGGGAATACTGAGATTGCACAAATTAACTTGGTTTCCAACTCTCGCTGTTGCGTTGCATCTCTTAAGAGAATCGTTTTAGGATTTATAGTGTAACGGAATATAACCCAGCCTGCAATTGAAAATTCCGGTCATTGTAGTCTTGCGTATTTCTTTGCGTTGCTGCTGACTTTTTTGTGTATATTGTGTTGGGCACTTTTTTGTTAAACCTCTGTTATTTTCATTCTCCCCAGTGGTTTATTTTGTGCAGTATAAATGCTCGGATATTTTTTGCACTTCTTAAATAATGCGGCTTTTCCATTCATTCACCAGAGGCCTGAAAAGCAGACTCGTGCTTGTAATCCGTTGAATTATTTTTCTTCTCCATATTTTTTAGGGGAAAAAAATGGCTTTCAGACGGAGGAGAAAAGGTGCAATTCAGATCAGGCAACATTTTCAATGATATTTGTTTGTATATAACAAATAATGACTCTATTTTAATGAATGAGAGCCTGTTGAGATCTATCTATGACAAAGCAGAGCTGGGAGTATACACGTGTCAATGCGTGTGTGTGTGACGTATTTAACAATCTTCTTTGGAAACATATATTATTTAATTGCACACTCTATAAGAAGGGTTTTTGGTCAATTATTTTGTTTACAACACTTCAAAATAGATCATCAATTCCAAAAGCCATGGAATCCATAATTTAATCCAACGATAATTTTGTGACGATTGGAACCGATTGGCGTGCGTGAACATTCTGACCTCATGGCGCGTTTAAATGGTATTGGTGACAACCATCGCAAGGCATCGTTGGTAGGCCTCGCCGCGTGCTACGTTCACACAGACGTGCGCATACACAGGGCTACACCGCCGTTTCTATCGTTGCATCCTGGTACGCGTGGCAAACTTAAGGATCTTTTTTTAATTCTAGATTTGAAGCGTTCGTGACTGCAAGAATTCATATTCTTAGTTCTTTTGGTAAAGTCACGTAGGTTAAAAATGAAATTAAAATTAATAAAAAATAAAAATTTAATTTCATTTTTTACCTACGTGACTTTACTGAAAGAACTAAGAGTATTTATTTATTATCAATAAGGTTAAGTAACTGATGTAAATTTGTATTTTATTATTATTTTTTTCCTACGTGACTTTACCGAAAGAACCTAAGAGTATGAATCCTTGCAGCTTCAAATCTAGAATGATATTAACAACCCTAATTCTAAGCATAGTGGGAGAGATGGTTTAAGCGTGCTTGGCTGTGTACGGTGCAAAAGAAGTTCAACATACATAAACTGGCCAGTATACCTTGCTATTTTTATTAATCTTATTTTACAACAAGGCTACACATTATTGTGACAAGTGGTGATGCATGTGCACTCCCACTAATTGGCTAATGTTTGTCCGGCAAACTATGCACACACTGAGCCCCACTCTACGGAGCCAAGATAAGACCCCGGGAGTGATGCTGTCCGATTTGCTGCACAAGCACGTGCGAAAGTCAAAGGAACGTGACACAAAAAACCCCGTAACTTATATTTAACATGTTACCAATAGTAATTTGCATATGAAAAAAAATTGAAGTATTTTCTCGCTTTTTGTCGATTTATTTTTTATTTATTCTCAACCCCTGTGGCTTTCACACACCTCAGAGTCGTTCTCTCTCTCTCTCCGAGAGTGAGCTAATACAGTGCGTGTTCGTTACAAGTTGAAATTAATATGGTTAGAATGCTCGACTCGAAATCCGCAGTACAAATCCTGGTTGGGAGTTCACTCAGCCCATCATCCTTCCAGGACTTTATAAAATGAGCAGTGTTCAGTCGGGAAGTTAGCAGTGGTTTTTCGTAAGGACTTGCTCATCCCTGTCATGTGACCTGTGGAATTATCACCGCTGTCTCAGGGTCATAATAAGTCAAACGCTCAGACTTATTTGGACTTTTAAAATACAATTGCGCTAAATGTATAGGCACAAGCATTTTACACCAGTGTAGCGGAAAAATCAAAATTCCTTCTATTTCTCCTGATTTGGCCATCTTGCCAATGGAAAAGCAGTTACGTTCATGTGCACTAATCACTTGACCATAAGGCTGTATTATTGTTCTCTTCATATGCAGTTGAAATTGTAATTGTAAATTCGTTTTACCAACATTAGGCTAATATTTGTAGTCGCGTACAGTCTCTTGTATCTGTGGAGTGGAGTGGTGGCGTTGTGGTTGGTACACTTCGTTATGAACCTGGCGATCTGAGTTTGAGTCCACGCTAGGGCTAACATCTGTGATATCTAAACCAGACCCGACATCGCCCCCTCCCTCATCCACATTCATCAACCTGAAACGACCAGCATGGTGAAATATGTTCTAAACAACGCCCACGTCCGACGTGGCATGAGACCATCATCCAATATTTGATTGATCATTTACAGTGTTGTATACACAGCACGTTTGAAGTGTTTATGAAGAATGTGCCATGCGGTGCGTATTTAAAGTAAGTACGTTTGTCTACAGTGTGTGTGTGTACGTGCAATTGTCATTTTGGTGTCAAAACACATCACGGCGATCCGGGCGAGGGAAAAAATGTAAAATGATCGGTTTCGTGCAAAGCCTGCAGCCGTGATCCCCACGAATCAGAGAAACACTTTCACTTTCATCTGCAGCTTATTCAAAATAGTGACGGAGAGTGGAAATCTGTTCGATTTAGGCGCAGTCCATTCTCACCCGTTCTCTCGTTGCTGGCTCCAAAGTAATAGATATCGTGGGCGGAGTAGGGGGGGAACAAAACGAAAGAACAGGGGGAGGACTGTTCTGTTTGGTCCTTAAGCACCTCATTTGCAGATCTGCCCCCTGCTTTTGAACCACATTAGGCCTGGGCGGGGGGGGGGCACAAAACAAGGGTGCAACTCACGACGTTCTAGCGGCAGCGACGTGACGCCAGGTTCATCCGGAGAGTCCCAAAAGTCGGACACGTGGGTTGCGGGATAAAAACAAAATTCGCATGGAGCTGTGCTTATACTGCGAGTAAACCCTTTGCGTCTTGTAGCTCCGATGCTGTGAAATTTGTGCGAGGAGCAGCTGTTTAAATGCCGTATTGGCCACATTATTGATTCATATTCGAATGCGTTATATGAGAATATGTATTTATACTGGAGGATCCGATGAGCTATTAAGGTTGTTTTTACAGATGTCCAGTAGGGGCGGGTCAGAACGTTACAACAACAAACGATACACAAACACTATCGGAGTACAAATTATAGGCAAAGTAAAAAATCACTTTAAAAACTAAAAAATGTTTAGCTTGTCAGCTAAAGCCCACTTGAGATTTTACCTAGCCACAAATTATGACGTAACAAAGTGGTTTGTCACGTAGAATTTTTTTGCCACGAAAGAATATTAATGATCCCAACGCACGTGCTGTTTGTTGAAGCACATCTGTAATTATTATTTTTTATTCCTGCAAAGTTCACGATGTGTTTTAGCGAAATGTAGACAAGAGTGTGAAAAAGTAAATGAATGTAATGTCATGGTCCTTTATCAGTCTACGGCTAAATGAAGGACTCCTGATATCTTTCTGTCATCGTCAGGGCTTGTTTGATCATACTTAATCACGCCGATCGGTGCGGGTTGGTGATGGGAGGTGTTCCAGGACCGGTTTGGATGTCACTCGCCACTTGATGTCAGCCGTGACCGGGAGCTGAACTCCAGTTGCCAGGTCCATGGTGCAGTGCACTTTAACCACTGCGTCGCCAGCAGCCAAATATAGTACAGATAGCACGGCACAAGTGAGAAATACAGTGTGGATGAGGCACACCGTACAAATGAGACGGTCCGAAAAATACTAAAAACTTAATTTCTTTTTGAGTGTAATCATGATTTCAAAACATAACCAATAGAATTTCACGGAAAAGCATGGTGAATCGCTGCACGCCTATTAAACATCGTTATTTTTTTGTTAAGGCAAGCGATTCGGCCTTCAAGCTACTTACTCTCTGATAGTGCACCCAATGTGACGTCACAAATCACTGTTGCGATTCAACCTGCTAAACTTGCGTGTGAAATGTTAACGGAAGATGAAAGTGGAGCATTCGACATTGTAAACCCCTTCAAGGGTTTTTTTCTCGCACAAATCACAAGAGTGCACCGTTGTACATTTCAGAGGGGGTTTGGTGATTCATTCTTTGGATACCTGCCAAATTGATTCAAATATATTTCTCGCAGTCTGCCTTTGGCAAATTAATTGCACAAATTGTCATAGCTGGAGAAGTTCTTTTGAAAAATTGTATCGGAAGATCAAGAAATTATCTGTGATCATGGTACATAATTTGTCTCGGACGATGACAAACAGCTTACGTAATGGGATATTTTTTTGCGTTTGAGTAAATATCTCATGTATATCTGCTAGCACCAACACATTTACACATCTCATGTGGCTGACTGGGATTCATTTTAACTGATTACTTGTTTACCGAATAAATCCCCATTTCCACAGGGTGTCTTACACACACACACACGCATGATCCATCAACCCCGGTTGACCAACCAACATTTGATTAACCCAGTCTCATCCGTCCCTTACCTTCTCCAAGGGAGCGTCATGGCTGGCGACTCCTCCGAAGGAAGCCCGGGGGATTCGGACCTTGGACACCAGCACCACCACCACCACCATCAGCATCATCATCATCAGCAGCATCAGAGTGGAGATGGGCCTGGGGGGTGCCCAGTCAGGGGGTTCACCCTCCTTCCCTGTGGAGATCCTGCCCTACCTCTACCTGGGCTGCGCACGCGACTCTACGAACCTGGCCGCTCTGGCCGAGCACGGCATCCGCTACATCCTCAACGTGACGCCCAACGTGCCCAACGCCTTCGAGTCGCGCAGGGACTTCGTCTACAAGCAGATCCCCGTGCCCGACCACTGGAGCCAGAACCTGTCGCAGTTCTTCCCCGAGGCGATCGCGTTCATTGGTGAGTCGCTTGCGACGATCTGACCGAATTATATCTGTATTAATATTGGAGGAATCCGATGAGCTATAAAGTTAGTTTTCACAGATGTCCAACAAGCAATACAACAAATTTATAGGAGTGGCAAAGTACGGCAAAGGTAAACGAATCTCGTAAAAATATACAAATAAAACGAAATAATGTTTCGTCTTAGCAGGTAAAGCCCACTAAGGTATTAACTTATTTTTCAGAAGCGGCATGGTCCCGAATTCTTCGAACAGAAGGTTATCAGGAAGGCCTATCACAAAGGGCACTATGTTTAACACGCAATTATAGGCTGCATAATGTTACTTTTATGGTTAATGAGAAAAAAAAAACTTTCCAAAAGAGACAGAAAAAAAATAGAAAACAGACAGTATTACTGAGACATAGAACGAGATAAATAAAGAATAAATTATTCAATCACATTGTCGCTTTGGGTCTCGATAATTTCTTAAATTGCTGGGGGTTGGGGGAGGTTTATCCTTGCACTGCTAATGCCCACACCGCTCCTTTGTATGCCATGATAGGCTTAATATATATTGGCTAACAGCGCTTACCCAGCCTATACAGCTCTGTTTGTGATCATACTGTTCTATGATTTCTTTATTCGCTGCCAGACAGCTCGGTCAACCATTTGTCCTGCACTGAATTGAGGAAAAAAATCAGGCCATTTTAGAGTGACATCCAGCCGAACGACTGCCTCGCTCTGCGTACGACTATCCAGTTTCGCAGATTAAAAACATTGACCGGTTTTATTGTAAAAGCTGGAATCGGGCTCCGCTGGAGTGTTTGTTTGCGTGCGCGACCAAACTGTCAACAAACGGAATTTTCGAGACTGCAAAATGAGATAACGGTCCTGAGGTCACGGGCAGCGATGATGTCACCACATCTGCACGCTGCATTCGGAGAAATTCATCATCCAAGATGACGGCACGCGCCCTTAGTCAGACCTCGCAAAAGTAGCGTTTTCTTATCCTCTCCATGGCCCATCACGTCGCCTCCCCACACCCCCCTTTTGTCCCACCCCCCTTTGTCCCACCTTAGCATTTTGTTGACGGAGACAGGGTGAATGCCTCTGCTGTCTTGAGTGAGAATGGGATATAATGAGCATTAATTGCAAATTAAATTAGAATGTCGAAGCAACTCCCTGTTCAAACAAGCGTTGGGACGGCGATCTCGTCCGTTGGCGACACCCGAGGCATTTGTGGGAATTTTGTGTGATGCCTGAAGCATTGGTGAAAATTTCACGGTCAATTTCCATGTAAAGACCAATGTTGACTTTATACTGGAATACTGTTAACTTCCAACCAGTGATTTAAACTTTAAACCTTCCGATTGCGAACGAATTGCCTTCAGTGTTGCCTGGCCAGATTAACTCAACTCTCTATTTGAGCTGAATTAAAATAATAATTAAACATTTTGATTGATTAGAATAACACTCAGTACTTTGTTAATATTTCGTTTAATGCAGGCAAATGTACGGTTTCAAAGCCACACGTAGTATTCCTATTCCATGTAATTTTAATTGGTAATTCAATAATTTGCTCCGTTCACTCAGTGGGGTCCATCATCAAAACAAACTGTGAAAACCAGTATGTTAATAGCATCCATTTTGACCGACCCAAAAAAAAGTGGGCATGGAAGCACACTAAGACAAAGATCCCCCCCCCATCAAGCCTTAACAGACTTGGGGCAAGTGCTGTTAGCGAGCACCTATGAAGACTGGCACAGCACACGAGAGGGTGGGTGGCCAACACCATGCCCGGCCGCCTTTGTCTCCCTAGTGGCGATGTTTACACATGACACCATGTAATCATTTGAGGCCGAGTCGACCTAGGGGAGGCTCAGGTCCGGTTCAGAAAATCATCACCGGTGTTCGCCGTGAGTGGGAATCAAACTTGGGTCGCTGGTATTGTAGCCCAGCGTGCTAACCGCTCCCCTACCGCTCCCCACATGGAAAAACACGCGTGTATACAATCTTGATGCGCACATAACGTGTGTGAGCTCTCACACCCACGCGGTGCAATTGCATTGGTGTGCTCTTGGAAAAAAAAAAAATCAGAAACTTAGGTTATTTTTTTTACCAACTTAATATAATAAAACACATTACAGCGATGAGCATCAGTGTTGGTAAGCCGTGGGGTTTATTTTCTCGTAGCATTTGGCAGTTGGCTTGCGGGTATTGTTGTAGTGTTCGAGAATACACACCGGGCGTTCTCAGATGGACGATGAATGGACATTTTCCAGGCACTGCAATATAGTCATCCTGTTTTTATTAGTGACCAAATGCTCGTCTTGCATTAGTGACCAAAACGCTAGTACTCCAGTTGGATAACTAGCATTGCCATTGCAGATGCCATGGGGGGTAGACGATCCACATTTATTTTTCAGGGCCAGGCCATACATGCTATATTTATTACAGCTGAATTGCTGAAGCATTGGCATTTTGCATGACTCTCAATCCATTGTGTTAAAATGTTGTTTCCCTTCATTTGTATATATTCTGTACTCATGTCGATGTGTAACCTGCAGTCGTTACACATACATAGTACGTATGTTAATACAGCACGTGTGTTATTTTACTCGTACAGCTTATTAATCGCATGTCCATAATAGAATGGTGGTTAGTACACACAATTTAATTATCTTGAATGGCCACAAAATGTGAAATCTTTAAAATGCCTTGAGCAGTGGCATGGCTTTCTAGCTTATAATTTTTGTCCAGGGCTTTAACAAGTCACTCCTATACAAATCGGTGAATTATCATGATTCGGGCCACATTTTGTGAAATGAATGAATCAATTCCTTTTTTCTCTCGTGTTGCATGTATAATCGATAATGCAGTGGTATGACTAATATCTATATTGGTGGAAATGTGTAGAATCTGTCATGCTATGAATTTGTAGTCCTATAATGGATGCATATAAACTATTTAGTATTCATCTGTAGAACCTATAAATGTATGGATTCATAGAACATATAGTGGTTTAATTTGTAGAAGCAGATATGAATCGGGCAGAGCAGTGGTATAGCGCACTGGCTGTATGAAACTGGCAACCTGAGTTACATTCCTGGCCAGAGCTAACGTTTCGTTGGCAAATTATATGTGAACCCCCCCCCCCCCCCCCCCACTGCACTGACCCACACTGCCCAGAGTTCAAAAAGCATTGTCAAACGACTCATTTGAGCAACGGGGAGGCTTTCGACCGGCAGTGGATTGATAAAGGGCTGAAAACTATGTTAATCAAGTCGGATCGATTCTTGAGCATATGTATCATGAGAATCGTCACATTGCTATTGTCTAGGGCAGGGGTCGGCAACCTACGGCTCCGGAGCCGCATGCGGCTCTTTACGGGCTGCTTCTTGACGATATGTACGTATGTACAGTATGTACTCAGATGCATTGCGGCTCTTGAAATACTGAATTTTGTACCGAATTGGAAAGAAATGGCTCTTCTTGTTATTTTGGTTGCCGACCCCTGGTCTAGGGTATAGTTTTCTCCTGGCCCTGTGCTCCACCTATGCATTGTTCCCTGTCACTTGCTAGCGCTTTGTAATTTGGCGCACGAATGCAAACCCCTTTTCATCCTTATCTCCCGCGAAGGTTAATTAACCGCATCTCAGAATAGTGCACAACAATTAGAATATGAAAGCTTAATTTAATCGGGGAAGGGAACAGCGGAGAGAGAGAGAGCAAGACCGCGGGTGGAGATGGGTGAGTGTCATGCGATGAGTCACCGCGAGCCCCCCCGTTGCAGGGAACAGCTTCAGCACTCTGCGTAGGTTTGCCGAGCCTTAAAATAGCATCGGGGAGACTCATCCATGTGAAAAAAATAAAGAAATCCTCAGCGTGGGTTTAAAATAGCTCCGATCGTTCTCCTCCATCCGAGAACAAATCGAAATCGGCAAATAGGTTTCTAAAAATACATTCTCTCCTCCTCACTCTTCTGGGTTTTTTTTTGGGTTTCCCAAATTGTGCTCCGTGCGCATCGATTTGCCGTGGTCGTTCCCGGGCGGGCAAATTGCGTTTCTTTTTTTAGCTCTGTAACCCGGTGAACTGGCGAAACAATTGGCTTGAATTTAATGGGCACGAGGATGCACAGGATAAAATTGCGACGAAAATTGAACTCACTCTCTTGAGAGAGAGAAAGGGGGCCGCTATAACGCCGCCGCTGTGTACGTGCATGCAGAGAAGAGAGCCACTTGACGAGACGCTCTCATTTAGCGGCGTTTGAAGCGAGCGCGTGCATGCGCTTTTGCGATGGAGGTGGCTTGGCTATGAGCTGAATTATTTTTCCACTTGAATTTTTCCTCTGGATATTTTTTTTAGCTTGGCACCGTAAACAAAAAAAAAACCACGTATTTTTAATCCAGGTAAAGCCGCCGCATTTTATTATTAGTTTTGATCGCTAGATTTACAAAATTGCTTTATAAATTAGCCGATTGCGTGCGTGGAAGCATGCGCCTTTTGCAGTGTGTTTGTATTCCATCGGGCGTGTTACATTCATGCGTGTAATTGGACAATCGCTTCTGATTAAAGCCTCCCATTGCGATAAACGCCACAGCCAGCAGGCTTATCAATAGACAGCGCGATGCCAATGTGGCTCAGTTAACGCTGAACAGAACCCGAGGTAGTTCATAAAATGGGTTCAAAATCCCAATTTTCATTCATTGCTAAAATAATGTCTCTTAACTTAGGCTTTATTGGGTACATACATGGCATTATTTTATGTTGGTAATCATGACTGTCATCTTCAATATCGTGACTAAAATCATCATTATCGCATTCTTCCAGACGGCGGTTGTTGGTCCCAAAACTTACAAGTAACAATTGCGTTCAGGAAGGAACAGTATTAACAGGATGTTTTGTGTTCATGCAAATTGGCAGTCTGTTTGATAATAATCGCCACGGCAGTGCATTAACGTTAAGTAACTGAAGCTGGGTTCGTGCCGTTTGTCAGTCCCTCACCACGAGACCCACGTTGGCTGTGTACGGCCTCGTACATCATATCCTGAACGTAGGTTGTTATTGAGCGATGGCTATTGAAAATGAACTTGGGCTCGTATGATTTTGTTTCTAATTTCAACATGGCAAAGAAGCACGAACAGCCGTACGTTTATGATATGATTATATGGACAAGTTACGGGGCTTGTAAATGGGTCTAACAATAAGTCTGGGTGGGGTTAACTAAAGCTCTTTTTCAAGCAATGTTTTACGGACCTGCATATATAACATGCAATGAACGCATGTATGTACGAGTGAGTAATGTGCAGTATGGGGAACGGTGGCGCAGTGGTTACGAACCTGGTGACCCGAGTTTGATTCCCGCTCACAGCCAACACCAGTGACGATTATCTGAACCGGTCATGGGCCTCCCCTAGGTCGACTCAGCCTCAAATGAGTACCTGGTGCGGTGTGTAAAAACATCGCCACTGGGGAGACAAAGGTGGTCAGGCGTGGTGTTGGCCACCCACCCCCTTTAGTGCTATTCCGGCTTTTATCGGTGCTTCTCACAAACAGCACTTGCCCCAACAGTCTGTTAAAGGCTATATGGGGGTCTTTGTCGTAATGGTCAGCTGAGTTAGATTACCAACCACTGCTAACATAAATGGCAATTGATATATAACTTGGTCTTTGTCCTCCCTGATGAGTACCTGGGGCAAATACAAGTGGAGAGTGATTTCTGAAATTTTTTTGGGCCTCAGCTTGGTCAAGTCGGCCTCAAACGAGCATCTGGTGTTGTGTTTGCACACTTTAGCGGGTACTCGGCTTTAAATGGGAATTTGGTGCGGTGTGTACACTTCAGCACGGGGGAGAAAGAGGAAGGCCTGGCATGGTGCTGGTCATTCTACCCCCTCTCTCTCGTGTGCCGTGCCTGCCTTTTATCGGTGCCCGCTAACAGCACCTGCCCCAATAGTCTGTTAAAGGCTAAATGTGTGCGTGTTGAACTTCTTTCGCACCGTACATAGCCAAGCGTGATAATCAAGAGGTGTGGGGGAAAGGCAATAGACTAAACACAAACAAATGCGAGTGTGTGTGTGTGTGTGCTAGCAAGTACATGCATTTATGTGCGTCCGCAAGCACGCAAATGCGGCCGTGCACACAGCTCCACGTCCTTGCGCGTGATGCGTTGTGCGTATGTGCTCGTGCACTGTACGTGGTCTCGCGCGTGTGCCTGCGCGTACGTGCTTGTAACTTGGCCTCATTCGGGTGCCGGCCTTCCCCTACTCTGGCTTTTCCGGCTTTTCAAAAGCATCGGGAAATCCTGGTAGTAAATCGAGCCCACAGCCTGACGCCAGGAATCTTTTACCAGAACGTGGCTTCCCCTCTTGCCGGTCACACCCCTCTCTCCCTCCCTCGAACTCTCTCCCTACCTCCGTCCCTCCCTCCCTGCCTGCTCCCTATTTTATCGTCTCTGCCATGTAGGCTCAGGATCTGGCTCCAATCTGTCACCTCATCCTGCCCGGGCTCTCTTCTCTCTCTCTAGCTCACTCAATATATTTATAATTTCAACCCCTCTGGCTGTGCACACACGTGCCGGATAAATATGCGCCTTGTTATTGGAGAGAGGTCCCAGAAAGGGTCTCCATTCATTTATATAACAAATGGCTTTCGGTATTTTTTTTTGAAAGCGTCGGCAGACAGACGCTTGATTTCCGGTCACAATAATTGATTTCGGCAGCATTCCGCAAGTGTTCGTCTCCGTCTGTCTGTAACACGTTTAAAAAAAATTATATTCTCAAATATTGAATAAGCTGTTTGTATTTTCTCTAAACAACTTACCACTGTTTACACGTCATAGAAAAACACGTGGGAGGTTGTAACATGGAAATATCGACATAGATTGGTCAACATCCTCATTTCTGTACTAGCACCTACTGGTATCTTAGCTACTGGCACTTGATCCACCACCCCACCCCGTGCCTCAAACAGATTGGCTACTTACTATTTGGCTGCTTGAGGTGTTGTTATCTGACCTCGGGCTTGCTTGATTGGTTTGAACGAACAAGCATTCACAGAGATGGGTTTCTCCATTTCGTGCCTACGTCATTCAGTGGAAGCCTCTTCAGCTTTGAATTCTTCATCTCATTGTCCCTGCGGCATCAGTGCTGAGCAAGTATACAAACTTATGGATGCATTTGCGGACTAATTTTCCAACATCTTTGAGTTGAAAATGCTATGAACCACGACTCACCTTGCTTGTTTCACATAAACTGATCTCAATGCTCACATGGTGGTCATTTTCTACATTGGTTGCCCGAGGTCCGCAAACTCTGTTCAACATCGTCGTCGACACGATTTTCTCAAATAAGTTACCACAATGTAAAAACAAATGCCCCTCTTTTGCCAGAATATCGATATCCAAACGCGGCTTTCGAAAATAAAACGCCCGGCACGGCTTCACGCTTTCTGTTCGACTGCGTTCGCCGCTAACGTATTCTAACTCTCGACCGTCTTTCTCCCAAACCCCCACCGTGTGCCCCCTTGCCCCCAATGTCTCCTTGCTGCTGTTTTGCCCGTCCCCGGCTATCTCCGTGGTTGTGCGCGGACGGCACAGACGAGGCCCGGCAAAAGAAGTGCGGCGTCTTGGTCCACTGCCTCGCCGGCATCAGCCGCTCCGTGACGGTGACGGTCGCCTACCTCATGCAGACGCTCAACCTCTCGCTGAACGACGCCTACGACCTCGTGCGCAACAAGAAGGCCAACATCTCGCCCAACTTCAACTTCATGGGGCAGCTGCTGGACTTCGAGCGCACGCTGGGGCTTAGCAGCAGCAGCGGCAGCAGCAGCGGCAACAGCAGCGGCAACAGCGTCGGCAGCAGGGGCAGCCCGCCGTGCGACAACCGCCCGGGCGCGACGAAGGGCGGCGGAGAGGGCGGGGCGGGAGACGGAGGCAGCGGCGGGGAAGCCGCGCTGTTCTTCACGACGCCCACGAACCACAACGTGTTCAAGCTCGACTCACTTGGCTCCGCCTGAAGAAAGCTCGACTGCTGGCTGCCCGCGGCGGTTTGTGTCTTTCTTTCTGCCTCCTCCTGCCGCGTCCTTTGCCGTGGTCTCGCGGCCGCCTACGGGGGTTGACGAGGCGGTTTCGAGAGCGTGGTGGTGGTGGGGGGGGGGGTGCGTGCGTCGCTTGGCCCAACGGCGATGAAGCCGCTTTGGTCATGTGAGGTTCGGTGTGGAAAATGGAAGAGGAAGTTGTGATGGCGAATGTAAAGAAAAATACAATTACGAAGGCAATGGGATGAAATGGTAAATGAATTAGAAAGTGCGTTTTGTTTAACGGCGATTGGTTAGCTCCTCATAGATGGCTTGGCGTGGCTTCCTGTCGTGTTGGAATCCTGGAGGTAGGAGATTGGTACTGTTGTTACCAGTCTTCAACAGGTCATGGGGTAACCATGAAGTCATTTGTGTAGGCTCTACCATTTCTGGTGGCCTCGTAAAAATGTTTTTACCTGTGACGAAAGAAGCAACATTTTGCTTAAAATGTCTCTGTAACGTGCTATCACGTTTTGCTACTTTTTCGTGACCGCTAACGACTTGTGAAATTCAAGACACGTGTAAATAAAAGAGACCAGATATACGTGTAAAAAATGTACTTTTAACACAAAACGTATATGTGAAACACATGAATTTAAGAGCTGCGTTTTGGTGGAAGAGTTAAGGTTCCATGAGAGGAACGTGGAGGACGTTTGAAGACTTTGGGTCCTTTCGTCTTCACATGGCACCACCCGATTAGCACGGTTGGCTACGTACGATGCGAAAGAAATTCAACATATGTACGTACGTGGCAACAACGAAGCATTTTTCAGTTCATCGTATTCCCGTTTGCGCTTCCTTCGTGTGCAAGATGCCACCCACCGACTCCCGCCTCTGTGGTCGCCTAGTTCACAATGCGCTGTGCGGCTGATCAAAATATATATTTAGTGAACGAGCATTTACAATTGCTGCAGAGAACGCTATGGGATGTTTTCTATTCGTTTTGAATGTTGTGGCCCAAATTTTGAAGATGATTAATTGAACACTATTGATCATTATAAATCGGTTCATGTTCATTTGACAATGTTCTGAATGTATTTTTTTATGTAAAAAAAATGTTTTGCAAGTGAAGCATTATTAATGGGGCGGGCAGGTGTTTTGCAACTGCTTGATTTAAAAATAGATATACATACAACGTAGTGCAAATGTAAGCCTTCGCTGTTATTTTGTATTTGCTTAAACACAAGTTGCCATATGCTTTGAAATTAAATTTGAAATCAAAGTTTTTTTTGCCAAGCTGGCTTATCGTAAATGTCGAAGCTTCAAAGGTAAAGTGTGTTGTGGTTTCGTGATTATTCATCACATTTTAAAGAAAAATTAACCAGCTTCCAGGTTTTAATTGCATTTTGTTGAGCATTGTCAAAACACTGTACATGACCATTGACGCCTTGATATTAATTGTACGCATGATTGTAGCTAGAACTTCAAAATATCCCTTCAGCCTATTGCATTTGTTCGTATTTATTTTTCTTTCAGGAAAAGTTCAAAGCAAACATTTATTTTTGATCATGGTTGATCATGCAGTCCGTCGGCTACAATTTTTTCCAAAAATTTGTAACGAATCATTTTTAACGCACTGCGTTGTGTTTATAATTGTTTTAAATAAGTGGCCCAATTAACTTCTCAAATATGCGGCGCAGTTTTACTCCCTGCTGTCTGCCGAAACGGTTTAAAGATCTTTAGTACCGTATCTGCAGATAAAAAAAAAATGTTGCTTTCCAAAACTTACGCGTAAAAAAAATATTTCGTGGGCCTTGTAAACCATGCTCACTTGAACGATTTAAACTAAAGATTTGTTAATCGTCTACAGTTTTTATTATTACCGTTAATTAACCCACAGATTATTGCAATGGGAAAAAAAAAACTAGTGAAATGTAGAAAAAAAAATACTTCCTATGAATTTTTCAGCCAAAAAGAATTTGCCAACTTTTTTTGTTGTTGCTCTTCTATGCCGCGATTATCTTGACGTCGTTAATGGCAGCGCGTAGCCGAGATGTATGAAAGAAATACATCGGCAACTTCGTGCTCTGCTAGCCATTGAAGTTCTAATCCGCGTGTCATAGACACTGACGTACGTGGCAACTTGTGAGGTTATCTCTTGCCGCGAACGCAGCCTCGGGAGTACGTGGGTTTCTTTTATTTTGGGCAGTGGTGGCTGCTGCTGTCTTGGCCCTTGTGACTGGCTGTCCAACTTGGCACATTCCAATTAAAAAGTGTTGATATACTGGCAAGACAATCGTACAGAAAAAAAAAACATTTTGTATTTTCTTTCCGTAATCTTCCGCAGGCGGAGGTGATAATGTATATTTTTTTCTTCTCGACTTTTTTTGAATGCGCGGTGTAGGGGATAATTGATGCTTTTTAAGGAAACTGAAAGGCCATGTTTGTATATATTTATACATTATATATAAAATGGTATTTCGGTGGAACACGAAGGTACTCGTAATTAATATGATTGTTTGCTCTTAAGAGAATAAAAGGAACCCGGCTTTGTAGTTTGCATGTGCCCCCTCCGCAGGTTCGGCCTGCCGCTCCGCGCTAAACGGACCGACGTACATTTTTATGAAATTGCCGCAAGTCAAATTAACGGCTTGGCTCCACTTATCCATACGGCGAGAAATAAACAACCCTGGGCGAGAGACGGGAAGCGGGACTTTCCGATTGGCTGCCCAGCCGGTGTAAATCGGTGCCGGCACGCGCCCATCTGCCCGTGACCTCTCCAACCCGTTTCGAGGCAGCGCTGTTATGCCCTTCATCTGGGTCCCAGCGAGGCAGGTGGGCTTGTGCCACCACACCCCATGCCCCCCCCCCCCCCCCCTGCAAACGGCTCCTCTTGTTCGTCGCACGCTGGACTCGATCGGCAATGTCCCTCCGAGGCCGAGGGGACACGTGGTGTGTGTGCCTGCTTCTTCGGTCGCCAACAGCACGGTGCCCAGATCGCGCGCTGCTCTCGTTTCGATTGTGACTCCCGCCACCGCAGGTTACTCTTTGTTGGATAAAAAAAAAACCCTCCAAGTGGCTTATTTGGTCGTGGTTTAGTTGCTCTTGAATTTCACTTTCCTTCCTGTCGTTTTTCCTCTTGGTCCAGCCCAGTGCATCCTGTTAATGTGATACCAGAGTCGAGGTTTGGCATTGGGTTGGTCACCTGCCTGAGTTCAGTTACTATTTTCAAGGATGTGAAAAGTGCTATTTGTTGACCTTGATACGTACAACTTTTTCCAAAGTGAAGCGATTTTCTATAAGTGTGTAATTATAAAGACAATTGGCTTTAAAACATGACTTGCCTTTATCACTCTCAACCAATCACTTCAATTGCAGATTTTAAGCGGTGACCTTTAGGCTCAACAATGGCGTAACAACCTCGCAATGTCGCAACTAAATATAAAGTTGATATTTGATGTTTAAAGCGGAGACGGCAGCACTTGGTGTAATGTGAGCTCTTAACGTGAAAGAGTGCAAGGTGGAAATTATCATTTTAAGAGCAGCTTGCGTGCCAGAGGATAAACGTTCTCTCGAGTGTGATAAAAATTAAAACAAAGTTGAAAATTATTGCATATTGGGGAATTTTTGTTCTTTCCAAATATAGCTTTTACGCACAACTGTTTTTGTTTTAAACGGAACATGCAGGTGTTGAGACGTTGACCCCGTTTAGTCCATTCACGATGAGCATTAAGAGGATTAAGTACTTGGCCGAGGTGTGTATTTTTTTTTTAATGGTTGGACTTTCAAAAGTGCGCGCTGCAAATTTATCGCAGCATATCACCACGGTGCATCGAGGGCGCATCGTGGTGACGTTTCAAACAAAACTGCTTTTTTTTCTCCCCAATCTTTCACCGATCTTAATCCTCGTCATTGTTGGCCCCTGCCAAGTGTTGCGAGAATTAACGGCGGTTGTTACGTGATTATTAGCATTGTGTCGATGCTTTGACGGCTGTGCGTGCTGAAAAATTGTGTTTATGGCGGTTAAAACCAACGTGTTTGTGAGTGTGCCATTGGAGACCATTTGGTTTGCTAATGGTTTTACAAATTAAAACATGGCACCATTTGACCAACACTCTTTAAGTTTTACAGTGTCACGGTTAACCTAATAAAAATGTGATTGGATTGTAATTGAAAAAAGTATACGAAGTGTAGCACTTACAATAAAAAGACGTATTTTAAAGCAAGTACTTGCATGCATGCTCATGATGTGATCGCAACACGAATTGTCGTGCGTGAACGATAACGTGACCGTAAAAGTCCATGCCCCCTTCCCCCCCCCCCAAAACCAAAACATTCGGTGATTGTTACATGGACGCGCAACTTCCAACGATAGCGATGGGAGCGAAAACAAAAAGTACGGACCACATGGGGCAGCTCGACGCTCGGCGAAGTTGTCTAAAAGACCGACGCGGTTTTTGTTTTGCGCGCAGCCGGAGGCGTCTCGTAGAGGCGGGTCCCAGTTCTGTCCCCCGTTGCACAGTTTTGCGCCCAACCTCCCTCCTGTTGACCACCACGCCTGCTGTGGCCAAATTGCGAAATCTTTCGGCGGGTCAAAGGTGGCCTCGATTCGTTGTCCGCCGCTGAAACTCGGACGCGGTCCGATAACGTCAGCGACTCGGAAACGTTACAGTGCATGCCGGTTGCTATATCTGATATGATGTAATGCTGGTGAGCGTTAAGTCTTTTTGGGGGGGGGGGGAAGGTGAGGAGGCATGGCCGTTAGAAATCTGTGGAAGCCCTCACTTTTTGGGGAATGGTACTTTTGCTATTGCTCCCCAGTGCATTGTTGTTGTCTTTGGCGAGTTTGATGGTTGTGGGTTGACGTTTTTTTGCTGTTACCCTACGTAATTCCACCTAAGACATGATGATTATTTTTTATTTAAGCTAAATAACCTGAGAACTTCCATATATTTCTAATCGTCCCGATCATTGTGTGTGGCATAAAGAGATGCGTAGTCAAATGTTAAACCTTGAATATTAACTTAAGAGAGACGCCAGCCATTCGTACTTTGAAACAATCGGAAATTGCAACACGGTGAGCGGAAAGTCACCTTGTCTAACGCCATCATTGTTTATATTTAAAATGTTCATTATCAAGTACCAACTTGTGCCACGCTCTGAAGTAAAGTGTGGATGCCAATGGATGTATAATTCCTTTTGATGGTAAAAGCTTCCGTTTAAACACTTTTTTTTTTCCCGGGGCCGCAACGTTTTTCAAAGCGAGACAATGTTGTTCATGCGATCTTGTGAAATGTAGCACTCGCACTTGAGACTATTTTTTGTTTTAAAAAACGAATTTCCAGTCACGCAGTAAACTGCCTGTGTGCAGGAAATTGGCAACACACTTTCTGGCGCTGTACAAAGTTAATATTGCTCGTCAACAGAATGTCCCTAACGCAAGTGTTTGAGTGCGTGCATTGCAGTAAATCCACGCTGCTGCAAATGGCTCTTATTGGTAAATAGTATTGGTGCTTTCAAACACAACTTCTTCGTACAACTGAGCAGCCTGCTTCAGGTCAACATATACGTATATATATATTTTTTGTAAATCTCTTCTGGAAAACTTGGAGGCAGCGTAATCTCTGGAATCCGTTGCGAAAAAGTGTTGGAGTCCTTTTTCTGTATCACGATGCAGTGCTTTTTGAGCGCCATGGAATTTGTTATGATATTTTGTCCTGAAAATGAGAATAAAAATGCCTTCGATGCCATTACAGTTCCTTTTGCTGCCCTTTCATGAAATCGTGATTGAGTCGTTTCATGCGTACACTGCCGCTGTTATAAGCACTGCTTGGGTGGTGCTGTGGTTAAGAACGCCTGTGTATCACATCCATAGAGGTTATGAGTTCAAATTTATTCCAGCATTAAATCCCGTTATTCCATCGAGATTGCAAAAATGCATGCCATCTTGCGGAAAATGAGCAGGGGTTGTCCAATGCACATTACAAGAACGATGCCCTTCATACTGCTAGGAACCTCCTGGTTATACCAGCCCACAGGGGATTATTCTGTCCGTCCGTCGTGCATCTGAAAATGGGAGGGGTGGGGCTGGGTGGAGAGGGGATGGTGTGGAGGGGCTGGTGGGGAAGGTGGGGGGTTGGTGGGGCTGGGTGGGGAGGGGCTGGTCACCCCATGGTGCCCTTAAACGTTTAACCTACTCACGCCGGCTTGTGCCTGATCTCAGTCAGCCATATTTGCGGAATACACCACGCCGCCGTTGACCCTGCCCATTGACCGAGCAACCAACGTTCCTACCTGCTCCCTCCGCAGGAATGTGTTTTACTCCGAAGAACATTCCTGCCCTTCCACTTTCACTTGTCGAGTTCCAGAATGCCACAGGCGACTTCCTTGACGCTGCGTTGAGCTCGTTTGCTCGTATCGCATCGCTACGCAGCACGCGCTGGAGGTGACCGTGCGACTCGGGAGGCCCCTTAGCTGGCACTGCTGAGACCCTGGGTTCAAATCCAGGCACCAACCTATGGGGCCTCAGGTGTAGTAGGTTTATCGTTTGAACTCCATCGCCATGGGTGCCACGGTTGCGAGATGTTAACTACCTCGCATGGTATACAGGAGTTTGTGGGTTCGATTCCAACCCTGTGGCCTGTATATTTGGAGTTTGCATGTTTTATTATGGTTGTGTGGATTTATCACCGGATCCTCTGGTTTTTCCCTCCACATTTGGAAACATGCATTTATAGTATTTGGCTGTTATAAATTGTCACAGACACCACTCCGTTGAGCCATGGTTTGTGCTTTGTGGCCAGATAATTTCTGAAAGAGAGCTGTATATCTCAGTGGTTCTTACCTGGTAAAATAAACATATTCTTGGTTCTTTCGGTAAAGTCACGTATAATGGAAATAATAAAATAATAAAAATATAAAACAATACAAATTCTCACGACGTTTCGACTGCAACACAAGCAATCATCATCAGGTGTGAAATCCACAGCAAGAAAATTTGTGTTGCAGTCGAAACGTGAGAATTTTAATTGTTTAATTTTATTATTTTATTATTTCCCTTCTACGTGACTTTACCGAAAGAACCAAGAATATGAATCCCTGCAGTCACGAAAACTTTAAATTAAAAAATAAATATTGTTTAGTTTAAATTGCTTAGATTTTTTTTAAAGTGGTTATTCACAAAAATGTATTGGTTTGAGTTTCATTGGACAAACCCATGTAATTTTAGGGCGTATTGGGGAGAAGTGCCACTCATTACTGATTTCTCTTGTGGTAGTTTTGATTTGATTTTCTATTTTCCTTCAAGTTTGGTCTTCATTTGCTTTGCTTCTGTCACTTTTGGTGACGCAACTGAGACTCATCCCGGTTAAACAAACTAAAAACAAACAAACGATGAAACTGGTGCGTGAAGTTTCAAAGAAAGCCACTCGATGAAATTATAGGGGGAAGCCCCGGGATGGAATCTCTCTGTGGCAGCCGTTCTTCGGCGCACGCGACTCGCCGAGATTTCCGAATGGATTCTTCAACCTCGTGACCGGACACCCGATAGCACAATTCCCATGAATTGGTCGGAGAAAACCGAAGCACGGTCATTCGGTGGCCGCCGCTAAAGACAACGATTGTCTTCTTCAAAAATAACTTTGGTACAAAAACAAGGAGTCTAAGAAAGCCGCTCAACTCTGACCCGCATCAAGTTATCGTCCCCTCCACGTGAGACAATTATTCAACTCTTTGCAGGCTTATTGTCTCGTCTCGTATCATTACCGGAGGATGCACTTATGCTTCCGCCGAGTATTTGCTGCGTACGCGATGTTCCTGTGATGTTAAAGCAAAACAAAAACCCTCCCATTAATGCTCGTCGCACGTACTCCCTTGAGGATTTGACATTCTAGCCCAAGGAGCTCTCTCAGCTGCTTCTAAATATAACAGATATTGATTGGAACGAACATTTTAAAAAAAACCATCATTGAATATTCAAGCAGGGCCGGAGTATCTCCTCCATCAAGGTGAACTTGTCTACCATGCTCAGTCACGATTCTTCCGTTGAAGCTTACAATCGCCGGTGAATTTTCGCACGTGGAATTCGTGCAAGACGAAATCGTGGTTGAATTGCTTTACCCTGCGTATGTCAATATGTTCAGGAGTTGAATGCTAATGTCGAGGTCTGCCAGCCACGAGTTGAGAGTTCGCGTAGTTTGTTTGCCCTTCCTCCGTTGAAAGAGTGCAGACTGACGGTGCATTGCTGTGCGGTCCATCACTTTGGCTGCATGGCCACACTCGCACCGCTGTGGCTCGTGTCTTTAAGTTTCCGTTCATGAAGGAGACGACGTGCACATCGGCCTGGCGATGTTGACTGACTTGAGTGACTGATTTAAATTACAACGTTGTTCTGGAAGGGCGAGACATCTCAAATTTGGCACGTCCCCCTTAAACGTAGCATTCCGTTTTTGCCGTCACTTATTGGCAAAGGTCACCCCTAGTAAAAGGGGCCTTGCAATCCTCAGATTCTCGACGAGTGGAATAACACGAACAGATTGACTTGACGATTATAGTCGAGTCGACATTTATAACGATAACAATACACACAACAACAACAACAACAAAAACAACAATACTTTGTTTTTATCTGGACCTTTAAAAAACAACATTCTCGAGATTGATCACCTTTTACGCATAGAGCAGGGTAAACTGAAATGTCTGAGCTTGCTTTGAGTCTCGTCCTCATCAAAGGGTAAAAGTGATTTTCTCACCCAAATTATCAATGAGGCGGTGCTCATCCTTCGTTGGCAGCCGTGAGCCAGTGGTGGACATTCCACATTCCCATGACAGGGTCGAGTCCATACAAAGACAACCACTGGTGAATCCCTACTTACAATATATATACCCAGTATATATTTAGGATAAATACACCAACCTTATCATCAGTGAACCATGCAATTTGTACCCCACGGAGTTTTACGCTCAAGCGATTAGGTAACACGTCAAGCCAACTTGCAGGTTACAATTAGACAATGAATCCTTGTCCAGAGCTAGTAAACGCCACGAGTGCATTACAGAATAAAAACGTTGCCCATCACAGGCATGCGCAGGTGTTTGCAGGTAAGGGTGAAGGTGCCAACCATTGTTGCATTGGTAAAACCTTGCAAATGAGCAATTTGATAATCACCACTGACTCTACAGAGCGTGTGTGTGTCTGTGTTTGGGCGTGGTGCTGCCAACCCACACTTTAGTGTGCCGTGCTGGCCTTCATAGGTGCTCGCTAACAGCACTTGCCCCAACAGTATGGTGAAGGCTATAGGGGTATATTTGTCTTTGTGTATCTATCTGCCGTCCGGGCGTGATGATATCAACGCCACCCCCTCGTGTGCCGTGCCAGCCTTCTCAGGCGCGCGCTAACAGCACGAGTGTTTGATCCCAGAGAGACGTAGAGCTAAGACAACTCCCCGGCTGGGATTTGAAACCCATTCCTCGGTAGCGCGGTCTAATACCAAGTCAAATGAATTCACAGCGATTCCTCAACATACGTACCGACAAACGTCTGAAACAAATACACTAACTTCTTCTTTTTCCTAGCGTTGTTCCCGCTGTGGCACAGGGTCCGCTTTTCGGCATTGCCTTCTCCATTTGGCTCGGTCCAGGGCATCTTCAGGGGATGCGTTGACCGTCTTTATGTCTTCCTTTATTCGATCCATCCATCGCTTCTTCGGACGTCCGCGTGGACGGCGGCCCTCTGGCTCAATACGCACGGCAGTCTTGGCCACTGATGACTCTTCACTTGGCATCACATGGCCGTACCACCGAAGCCTTGCCTATACACTAACAATGATTATAATTCCCTCTGTAAATACTACTGAATTAACTAACGGCCCTTGGTCGATCCGCTGCTGCGTCAAGGCATCCCCATGCTGGGGAAAGGGGGGAGGTGGGGGTGTGACCATACTTCACCCAGCGGGTCAGTGTGTGGGTTGGTGAAGAGAGGGCCCGAGACCAGTTGAGATGTCACGCAGTCAATGATGTGTGCAGTGGCTGGGAATCACACTCAGGTTCCCAGGTTCATTACACAAGTGCACTAACCATTGCGCCCACCACTCCCCGTACTAATTGGAATGCATATCAAACCATTATAATGCAAAAAAATTTGTACTTATTTGGATACATTTCAGCTTTGAGAAATCACTATATCTGGCTGTCATGCGATGAACATTACTCTCTCTGGATAGGCGAGTGAGTGAGATCGCTGTTCCCCCTAATGTGTGGCTCAGAGGCCACGCGAAGGCGATTCTGAGCGGTAGCTCTGTGAAGCCCACTTCCGCAGGCCACTCTCTCCTCGCACGGAGAGTTACGCTGCTCCGCCGAGACATCCGAATGCCGTAATGGGCCCTTCGTCTCGCGAGGTGTCGGCGCTGAAAAGCACAATTGTGGCATGCAATGGGGGGAAAAATTAACCCGTAAAAACCAAGTTTTTCACTATAAATCCTTTATGTGCGTGGCGGCTAGAGTCCTCTCGTACTCTGGCTTGAGATGGCTGCCACCTATGGGTCAGATGATTGCCTGCCACCATTAAGCAATTGGTAATTAAATATTTTTAAAAAATTCCTAAAAAGTGTAAAGTTATGGAAAAAAAAATTCACGAAAATAAATTGTCACGCACAACGAGTCTGTGTGCAAAATGTCAGCTCGATTGGATCACGGGAAGTGGGTTACAAAACGACCGAAAGATTTGCACGGTCGTAAGCGCGCAAGCAAGCA